TACGAATAAGTCTTGGGTCAATCTCGCGGCACACGTCCGGACGACTATCGCTTTTCCAGGTTGTTTCGCAAGCTCTGGCCGACCGTTTGCTCGGATTAAAGCCATTATTCAATTTTCCCTCGCTGCTCGCGTGCCAACGTGCATTCTTCGACTCGCCTATTAAACGTATAGGTATAGCCTGATTTTGTACATCCTTATACACTTTGGACTCTTCCCCCTATCGTAGCAGTGAAACTTTGTTCAATTGTCCCTGGCACCAATCATCCCCTGAAACCGTAGAACCCCTATATACCTGTGCCATGGTGGAGGGTTGATTCTTTTTTCTTCCACTCCTTTGCTTGGCACCGTGAAAATTCGTCCTACGCGTCGAGGACTCTCGAGACTATACAGCCCGTAAAAAAAGCTCGCCTCCGTAGGGGGAGGGGCTGCAGAGGGGATTAATCGAATTTAGCTCCCGCGGAGCCGGGTAATCGCCGCGGTCGTACAAATCGACGGAGCAGCTACACGCAGCTTTGTTTCTCTCTCTCTCTCTCTCCGGGTGATGGATCTTCTCCCTGCCGGAGCCTGTGAGTATAAACTCGGGGACTCAACTCGTTCCTTGTTAAAAGTTACAAATTGCTCGGTGTTGCGTTGCTTCCCTCTTTCTCTCTCTCTACGTGCAATATATGTACACTCGGAAGTTTGAGGCGCGCGTGCGAGGCATCCGCGATTGTCGCGTCCGAGTGGACGGGCGGGGATGATGGGGGAAGAAAAACAAGGGTGTGCCCCGTGATTTATTTCGATCGCGGAAATTGATGATCATAGGTAGGAGGAGCTGCTTCTGGTGTGCGTTTTCCCCTTTTTTGACGAGCTCGCAGCTTTTTTTGCAATAGTTGTATACGTGCAGGCTTTGGGTGTAAATTTTTTTTTTTTTTTTTTTTTTTTTTCTTCACAGCGCACCTAACGAAATGCTCTAATTAGCTTGGCTGTAACGTTTCCTCGCTGATTTCATTAGACCGAAAGGGCCAAACTCGAGATGTTAAATGTCATTACAAAAATTGTGCTTTCCTTTGATTACGCAACGTAGCTCGAGCTTTTACGTTGATTGTCCAAGGTAATTAATTTACAGGTTGCTTTCGCACAACCTTTATTTTTTAGTATGACGTGCCCTGGGGTAAATATTTACCGTAAAAAGAAGTATCTCGAAATCGCTGTAGTTTTTTTTTCTGCCCGCTTTTAGCAATATATCGCGTGAGATTGCTTTTTTTAAAAAAAAGCTCCCTCGTCATCGTGAAACAAAAAAAAAAAAAAAAAAAAAAAAAAATATGAAAGACCCAAACAGCGCTTGACACGCCTGTCGATTCACCCCATACTAGCTCGTCAATCGAACAAACATGTTACGCTGCCCCATCGAAAAGCTCACCCGCGTCCGTGTACACCGATGCCACGGCAATATAGGAAGGGGAGACGGAAAAGCAAAGAGAGCGGAAAAAAAAAATAATAATAATAATTCCACGCGCGCGTGTTGTGGGTAATCGGTGCTGTTACTATTATCGAACGGCGAACGATTTCATTGTGTGAAATTGGTCAGAGAAGACGGGAAACAAAATGAAAAAATGAAGAAAAAAAAAATACAAGCCAGCGCGTCGTGTGAAAAAAGGAAGCCGCGTGCCCACGTATTTATAATAAATATGAAACACATTACACTGGGACCTCTCGATAACGCACTTCCCATTCGACAAGTGCTGCTGCGCATCATCGCCGTCGTCATCCTCGTGGAAGCCCATCTCTGACCGGATGCTGCCGCGCTCGGGTGATCTCACATTTAGATATCGCCTTTTTCCCTCTTTTTCTCTCTCGCTTTTTGCTAGCACATGTGTATACATGCATCACACACGACTGGTGGCACTGCCCATGCAGCTCCTTTCGCAAGTCCCCGTCTTTTGGCTTTTCCGACGCGGCTCTTTGTTCGCTCCTGACAGCCAAGCTCCGATGTATACGGGCGCCTGTATCCCACCGGGAAAAAAATATATTCCCGGTACCACGATGCTCTTGTACCCTCCTCTCAGCCTCTTTTTTTTTCTTCCGTGGCAGAAAATTTCCCCAAAACTAGGTTGGATGCTCCGCTGATGTGATGTATACTCTTACTTTCCCGGTAAGTATTACGGCCTGAAATTTCGTCGCTCCTCCCTTCCGGAGTTATTGCGCGGAACGTCCGAACAGCCCCTCGCGTTATTTTAAAGCTGCAGAAGTTTGCATCCCTCGCGAAACTTTCATCGAAACGTGTGTTTTTTTTTTCTTTCTTCTTCTTCTTCTTCTTCTTCTTCTGGTACTCTGTAACATGTTTACTGCGGATCATTTTCTGGTTTTGCAGTGACTGCGGGCGTTAAACTGTTTTCACGTAAAATTGAACCGGAAGTGTAACAAATATACGAACAGGAAATGACGCAATTGTGAACCAACGTTTTTTGAGAATACCAATACCCAAAAAGTTTGAGTAACCTCGACTTTTCGAGCCGCTGGTCCCGCTGAAAGGGGGCTAGTTTGCAAATTCAATTAAGGAAAAGAGAGATAATGGAGCTTCCTCGTCGCACCTTTACAATTTGAGAATCAAAGCCTTTTTTCATCCGACCCTCGTTTCCAAAATCTCTTTTTCCGTCGAGAGACAATCGCTATACCGTTGAGCGCGAGCCCAAAATCCCAAAAGCACACGCCCCCCGTGAAACTTATTTAATAAAAAATAAAAAAAAAATGAAAACAAGTGCCCGCGTCCCATTTAACTTTCCCTCCCAAGTGCCCCGCCTTTGAGGAAAGCTTTCTTCCGCGCGCCTCGCCTATCTCCCTTCCTCATCTCTCTCTCTTTTTTCCCCCGCGTTTCTTACATCTTCCTCTTATTCGTTTTCTCGCGTCTTTGTGCTTCGTGAATTTGCTACGGATGAGGCTTCGCGAATGTGACGCCTGCCCTTTCATACGCGCCATACACGCCGTGGATCAAAGATACCTTAGAAAATTTCACGAGTGTCGTTTTATTATCCGAGGCGCGTTTTACGCTCAATATATACAATGCTTACATCTCGTGCAGGTAGGAATCCCCATGTATCAACGATTAAAACCTTACTGCAAAAATCAGCTGTATTTTCCTTGAAATTTTCATACTCTAAAGTATCGCAATCAACAAGCACAAATTAAACTTAATCTACTCGCGGGGGTAACAAAAATAAATGCGCTCCCACAATTATGGCACTCATCGATTTCGTAAGTATGCATTAGAAATCAGCGTAATGGCTTACACGAGGATCGTAGCATTAGCTCGAGGGCAATTTTAGAATACGGGGTAATCGAGCAATAATAGCTGTACAGCAAAATCAATGCTGAGTTTGTAGGTACGGATTTTTTTTCTTTCGTTCGTGAAAAAGTAATTATTATCATATCGACGAGGCATACAGAGTGAGAGAAACAACAAAAATTGAAATCTTAAAAATGAGAAATTAAAAAAAAAAAAAAAAAGTGATTATCAGTCTTTCGTACAGGGTATCGCAATTGCACACGCGCTCTTTACATAATTCCGTCAAAGAGGGAGAGGAGTCGATTAATCCGATACCTCGAGAGCGGAGATGAGTCAACGGGATGATGGGTTTGAAAGGAAGAAAAGAAAAAAAAATGGCCTCGAGGGCAGTATCGAGCTCTCTCTCCTTAAATGGCCCTTGATCCTTGCACGCAGTTACCCGTGTCGGAGTAAAACTCTCGCAAACGCGTTACGTCGTGTTTTTTTTTTTTTTTTTTTTTTTTCATACGTGTTACAGTGGAATTGTTTCGAAACGAAATCGTTACGAGTCGGACGAGCTTTTGGGGTTTTGGTCCCAACTATGACGCAACGTACCGACTTAATGGATGAGACGGAGTTTGATCGATACGACGCATCAACCAACTCGGCTTTCCGAAAGCCATAAGTACGCTAATTTTGCATGGGACCCTTGGACACTCCAAAGCTACCGCTCAACTTGTATCGGCTCGCACACTCTCGTCAATCTGTAAAATCGATCGAATCTATTTGCAATGGAAAACTCGATCGGTACAATAAATTCAGGGGCTCCCTCTGTAAAGATTATAGGTCGAAACATAATAACGAGTTGGCCGAAATTTATCGAAACGAGTTTCGCGGCTGCGACGACGAGCGATGAAAATCTTCGAAAGCAATTAACCCAGAAAGACCAGCCTCTTTGTATATGTATATCGCCATGGAGTACATGGGATCGAAGTGAAAAATTAGCCGCTCGAAATCACCGTCCCGAGGTTGTGTCACACGTTTTACAACGAATCGAAACGAATGTCCCCTACCCGCAAACTCTGCCCAAAGAATCCGGAATTGTTTCCGGAATTTAATTAAAGTCCCCTCGCTCGTGTTTCGTCTCTCGATAGCGAGCAAATAAAAAAAAAAAAAAAAAAAAAAGGCTCGGCGCTCGATTGCAACGACGGGCGGGAAAGAAGAAGAATAAAAAGGGCAAAGATCCCTTGATCCGAGATAAGAGGGCTACAGGACCATGTACTCGGGCGTTAAATAATCGAGCCTCGAGTGAAAAAAAAGCCCATAGGTGACGCATTGGTGCGTATTTATTATCGAGAACGAGTGGTAAGGAGTGCACGCGTACACCAGTCCGGGCGAAGGCCCAGTTTGTCTATAGTCTCTCTTTCTCGGCGGTGCAGCGGTGAATTTTCTACAGCTGTAACAAAGATTATTTCGCTAAAGGACGATGCATCGATGGAACAAGCGCGTAATATCTTGTTGTTGCTTTTTTTTCCATCGCAGGGTTCCTCCTCCCGTGAAAGTTCGCCGCACGGCTCTCTCGTGTAATTACGTCGGGCTGACACCTTAAGCCGGCCGGGAAAGTCCGTTGGTGTGCGTCGCGGACCGATGATTTATTCTTACCTTTACGCTTAATAATACGTTCGAGGATCATGATTTCTTTTTTTTTTCTTTCAGTCAGAGTGTGAATGATGCAACGCTGTTTTTTTGATTACAGGGCGAGACAGGAGATCAAGGATCATTCGGCAGAGCTGGCGAATCGGTAAGCTTAACGATACTTTGGTCATTCGGGTATTCACCGTTTTTATTCGTCCTTATGTAGATAATATAATGTACATGTTCATGGAAGATATATATATGTGTACTTATATCATTGAATGTGCGTAAACGCGCAATACTCATTCAAGTGGTACATCCATGATTTCCGCAAAGTAATCTTTTGCTCATCCACGTGATGCAAAAAAAAAAATGTCTGGTCGTAAAATCGGTTCGGAACGGCCTCGCCAAGAGAACAATGAAACGTAATCGATACTTGGGAGACCGAGACGAGTATCCAGAGCTCCCTGCTGAAAAAAAAAAATCTGACTAGAACATGCACGGTCGCCGTTTAACAACGCAGCGGAAAAGGGGGGGCCGTTTTACAATCGGTGCGCGCTCGTGCAACTTTTCGAGAACCTCCTCGTATTCGACGAAGGCGCGAAATCGCTCGTTACCGAGGGCGAGAGAGGGGGATAAGAGGGACGAAAAAAAAAAAAAAAAAAAAAAAAAAAAAAAAAAAAAAGAAAAGAAAATTCGTCGTCCAAACGAAATATTGAGCGCCGGACAACAAGCTCGAGAGAANCAATATATCGCGTGAGATTGCTTTTTTTAAAAAAAAAAGCTCCCTCGTCAACGAAAAAAAAAAAAAAAAAAAAAAAAAAAAAAAAAAAAAAAAAGGCTAACCACTGCGGTGCCGATTCACAGGGAAGAGCCGGGTTCACCGGGCCCAGAGGGCCTGACGGTCTCGACGGCTGCAACGGGACGGACGGCCGCCCCGGAGTTCCAGGCTATCCCGGAGTGCACGGTGAGAGGGGCACCTACGGGCCCCCCGGATTCAAGGGCCCGACCGGAGACGCTGGAGAGGGTGGCGTCAACACCAAAGGCGTCAAGGGAGAACGCGGCGACCGCGGCTTCGACGGCACCCAGGTACCTGTTCCGTTGCGCATGCGTCCATTACCTTTGTGAATCCCCTTTTCATTTAAAAAATTTGTTCCAGGGGCCCCCCGGTCTGACGGGACCTACCGGCGATACCGGCTATCCGGGTGAAACCGGTGACATGGTTCGTACGATATCAATTGCATACTTTTCCATACCATTTCAGAAATTTCGTCACCGCTTTCAAATCATACGTAAACAATATATGTATATTGTGTATGTAGGTACACAACACGTATATACAACAGCTCGTAAAGTCCAAAAATCCTAGCTATTTCTCCCCCAAGGTCTTTGCAAACAATTTGCGAGATTATGTATATATATATATACACGTATATTCCGAGTTTACAAGACGACGAGAGTCCCTCGTTGGGTATCTAGCGCCAATGCACGTCTCGTTAAATTATGCTTGCGCGTGAAACTCGAGTCCCACCCTTTGTGTGTGTGTGTGTGTGTGTGTGTGTGTGTACACACGTCACACCAGTCGTTTGCTGAGTGTACGGACGAGCCGATCGAGCGATGCTCATGGAAAACTGCTTACACGAGCTTGCAGGGCTACGCGCTGTATATGTGTGGCTTCATGGGTGCCTCTCGTCTTGGGAAAAATTCCGGTAGGCGCGCGTGAATGCGTATATATATAAACATATGTATGATACAAGGATACACGGAGGTGGGGTCGAATTTCTAGAGCAGCATACCTGTATTTACGCTGTTTTAAAGTTCTCTATTTTCTCATTGTCGAGTATTTCCTCTGAGAATGTTGATTGTGTTAGCTCGAAATAATTTTACAAACGCCAGTGAAAAATATACATTTTACCCGAAATTACTGATCGGGCCGTACCCGATTTTAAACTGATCGAAGCTGCGATGAGCTTCGGTTGGCTTGCTTCGTTCCTCCGCTTTCTCCAAAGTGGGTACATCTCGTTATGACACTTTTTTTTGTTTAAATCGAGATTTTTTCGGAAATAATAAGTAACGATGGACACCGAGGTGAGAAAATTACCGAAATCTGTGGGCGAAATTTCTGAAGTGTAGGTAACCACAAGCGCTGAGACATAAACGCACTGTACCGCTACCAGGGACCGTTGGGGATGTCGGGCCTGCCAGGTTTCCAAGGCGACAAGGGCGACGACGTCATAGGACCGAAGGGTGAGATCGGCGAACAGGGGGAACGTGGTCTGAAAGGCTTGCCAGCCGTGGGCGACAGCACCAGGAAAAACACGACAGCTCGAGAAGGACCACCCGGGCCCAAGGGTTACAAGGGAATGCCCGGCGATCGCGGCCCCAGGGGCGAAATGGGCGAGAAAGGACCGCTCGTGAGTATAATCGTCCTTTCCCCGACTCTTCCTTCCGATGCTAAATTAGAGGGGACTCGTTTTATTCTGTGTATACTTCATTATGTCGCTTCTGTGGATGCGGCGCGTGTCCAATAATAGTTTTGGGACCGACACTATTGAAATTCCCTCTAATTGGCCTACGGGTATTTTTCCAATTGTTACGCATGATGCCGCCGTAAACTAGACTTGTCATTTTGTGCGTGTTTTGTGTTACTAAATTTGAATTTTTATAATGATTATCTTGGGTCTATAGCCTTGCAAACCCAATGCTAATTTCACGATAAAATAATGTAGGCCAATCCTTGAAGTTTTTTTTGGGACTATGTATAATTGTAGTTTCATCTACAAATAATAACGAACTTACTACGCCAAAGGTATTAAAAATTTTGTAGTGGTTACACCTTGTCAGTGTTTATTTAAAAATCCAAATATTATAATTGACGATGAAATATAACGTAGGGATATCCAGGACGCGATGGATTGAAAGGTGTAAAAGGTGAACAAGGCGACGACGGGCCTCGAGGCCAGCAAGGAATAACAGGAGTTGCTGGACCTGCGGGGGAAAAAGGAGAAGAAGGAGATGCCGGTTACTTCGGAAAACAGGGACCTGATGGACCAAAGGTAATCAATTATATGCTTGTGATAGACATATTCTTTTCAATAGATTTGTCAAAGTACAGTACAATTTGTATAGAATTATTTGAAACTGAATGAAATATTCAATAGTATTGGAAAATTTAGCATTTTCACAGTATAAAGTTATTTTATAAATATAATTTTGTTATCCCTTATTCCAGGGTGAAGCAGGAGATATGGGAAGACAGGGTGCTCCTGGTCGGCAAGGGGCTGCAGGTGTAGTGGGCGAATACATTCCAGAACTCGATGAAGTCGTCTGGGGCAGCATTGGCATACAGGGCGATGTCGGTATGTTGTATTTATTAATTATGTGTTAATCAGGTTTTGAATGAAAGCAAGACTGTAAAATTACCCACTTTCGTGCAAAATGCACACACGTACGATATATCACGTTGACATACATCATTTTTTTGTTTTTCATAGGGTTTCCTGGAGAGCCAGGCCCTCCAGGTATCGACGGCGAACCCGGAAGGATAGGGTACATTGGACCAACAGGACTTCCTGGTCCACAGGGTCCGCCTGGATTACCAGGACTTAGAGGATCTTCTGTAAAAGGAGAACGTGGCGACGATGGTAAACTACATTTTCTTCAGCACGAAAAAAACTCGTTGCATTAAAAATTTCAGTTATGCGTTTTGTGTTATATCACGATGAGACGTTTTAAAATAACGTTTTTATAGGAATACCCGGTCCAATTGGTTCACAGGGACCAATCGGTCCCCCGGGTCCAATGGGACCGCATGGAGAAAAAGGTCTTCCTGGTATAACTATTTACGGGCCACCCGGTCCAGATGGTTTCCCAGGTATTGATGGTCTTGATGGACCACCTGGAGATCGCGGCGAACCTGGACCACCAGGTAATTTCTACTTTGCAGAAACGTAAAGAAAAAACTTTTAATTACAAGACTTGCTTCCATTATAAGAAATAACGAAATATAAAAATGATTCATGCATACCATAGGTCCTAAGGGCTTCCCTGGAGTCGGCACTCCAATAGTTGGTCCACCCGGAGAGCTGGGCCTTCCTGGCGTGCCAGGTATTCCTGGTGCTCCTGGCATACGAGGTATGGATGGTCTTACAGGACCGAAGGGCTTCAAAGGTGATGACTGCGGCGTATGCGATTCAGGTACGCCTTTAGCTAAATATTTGCCCAATATTTATACAAACAAAAACCTGTTATAATTTTTGAAATAAATTAAATGGCTCGAAATCAGTTCGTTAATCATAATTATTTTTACACTTAGGTGGACTTGGTGAAAAGGGTGACCAAGGGATGCCAGGTTTCGATGGTTTCTTCGGCGCACCTGGTTTTCCAGGCTTGCCTGGACCGCGCGGGCTCAAAGGTGTAATTGGCAAAGATGGACCTCCTGGAGCCCCAGGTATACCTGGGGAAAGTGGACGACATGGTATTGTTGGAGTTCAAGGTCCTCCAGGTTCACCAGGTCGAGTTATACTTCCTGATGCATCTCGGGAACTATCGCCACCTGGTGATAAAGGAGACAGGGGTTTTCCAGGACCAGAAGGGCCACCAGGTCTTCCTGGACGCCCAGGCCTTATTGGAGATTATGGTTTTGATGGCCCAAAAGGAGAAAAAGTAAAATTCTTCTTCTTTATTAATTACTTATTCAATAAGATGTTCTTGAAATTCTTATTGCAATAATCACAATCAAAGGGTGATTTCGGCCTTCCTGGTATACCTGGATTCGACGGCGAACCAGGTTGGGATGGAATGGATGGGCTGAAAGGAGAAGCTGCAACTACTCCCAAAGAGTACCTTAAAGGCGATCGAGGTTTTGATGGTATGCCAGGACGCAAAGGCGAAAGAGGTAATCCTGGACTTAAAGGATCCCGGGGTGATTCTTCGCAACACGATTTCAAACTACTGAAAGGACCAAGAGGTCCAAAGGGATTTGTCGGAGATGATGGTATGAATTTACTACTTGAATTACGAATTTACATTTTTCATTGATTGAAAATAATAATCATAACAGATAACCACAACACATGATTTAAATAAAAATTGAATAAAATGAACGGTCATTTAAAACAAAAAGTATGTTAAAACTTACAGGTCCCAATGGTTCAAAAGGAGAAATGGGAGTTCGAGGTTTTAAAGGTACTGAGGGACTACCCGGTGAAAAAGGACGTGAAGGTTTTTCAGCACAAGGACCAGAAGGCTTAAAGGGATACCCTGGAATACCAGGAGATGAAGGTCCACGTGGTACTCCAGGTCTTCCGGGTATGGAGGGTCCTGAAGGTCTTCCAGTAAGTATACGTAGTAGTAAAAAAATCGTTGGATGAAGAAAAATTTATTATTTAAGTAAAATCGTAGCCAATTACAATTTGTTTTTAATAAATTTCGCATACTTTACTTTATCACAGGGGCTAGCTGGTCCTAAAGGTGATCGTGGTGACATAGCCAACAACTTTTATTACGGTGATCAGGGTGTTATGGGGGTAAAAGGTGAATACGGAGATATAGGTGACTCTGGGCCACCGGGATTCGTAGGACCTCCTGGATTGAATGGAGAAAAAGGAATTAAAGGCGAAAAGGGTAACAGAGGATATGAAGGGTATTCAGGAAATTCTGGAGCAAAGGGACCAAGAGGTGATAGCATTCAGGGTTGGAGAGGGGAACCAGGTCTACCTGGAATTCCAGGACGTCCCGGAATGATGGGTGACAAAGGTTTCAAGGGAGTTGATGGCTTACCCGGCTACGATGGTTTGAAAGGTATGCGTGGTGATGTCGGCCTACCAGGTAATCGTGGACTCGAAGGTGATGTTGGCGCACCTGGTTTTACGGGAATGGACGGGCACATGGGATTCCCGGGTGCTCCAGGTGAAGATGGTGAAATTGGTATGGAAGGTGACTTAGGACCTGTTGGTTGGCCCGGACTTGATGGGGAACCCGGAATGATTGGACACAAGGGTGAAAGAGGAGATTTTGGGCTTCCAGGCCCTGAAGGTCCACTGGGACCAAATGGATGGAAAGGGCAAAAGGGTGAACGTGGTTTTGTAGGGTTTAAAGGAGAAAGAGGTGAAAATTCGTTCAGTGGAATACAAGGTGAATTGGGTGAACCTGGTTTTGTTGGAGAGATCGGAGCACCTGGCATACCCGGTGTAGATGGAAAACCTGGTCTACCTGGAGATCCTGGACTTTCGATAGACGGTTTTATGGGTCTTAAAGGTCCAAGAGGAGAACCTGGCTATGCAGGATTTAATGGAACATTTGGAGAAAAAGTATACTTCTGCAACAACATTTTTTTTATAACATTTAAAAGTTACTTTATAACCATACTTTGTACAGGGAGATCAAGGTGATTTCGGTTTGGACGGAATTAAAGGCATAAGAGGGGATCATGGCCCACCTGGTCGTAAGGGTTATCCAGGAATGCATGGCCGTCCAGGATTTAAGGGAGAACGAGGGCCTGCAGGTCCACCTGGAATTAATGGTCCGAAAGGAAAGATAGGATTAGATGGTGATCCTGGGCGAATGGGACGTCCAGGTAAATTAATAAATTCTTTCAATTATGATGATTTAGAAAACACTCTCATAATAAAAAAAAAAAAACTTAATTATCTTTTATTAATGAAAAAAGTAACAGTAAAATATACATATTTTTTTTACCTTGTGTACAACATTACATAAAAGTGCTTAGAATAAAATAACAAATTTTATCTCCTACATCAGGTATGCCTGGAGATATGGGCCCTCCGGGTTTAACTGGTCGGCCTGGTGCTCCTGGTCCAAAGGGTCTAGTAGGTGATCCTGGGTATCCAGGATTTGGAAATGCAACTGCAGGAGACGAAGGTACGCCAGGGTTGCTTGGTATGCCAGGCAAGAAAGGAATGAGAGGGGAGGAAGGATACATGGGAATCGCGGGAAGAAAGGTATTGAAAAAAATTGCGCAACTGAAATGTGCTTCGTGGATCAAGATAGCTTTTATGGCTAATAAAAGTCTATGGCTTTGCTAAAAATTTTTCTTCGATAGAATCAAGATACTCAAAAAAAAATCTATATGTATAAATAGTACTACTGTTTCTAAAAGTCTCCTTGATCCGCGATCGTAATATTTTTCATCTTCCATTCGTCCAAGCTCAGGAACTCATAAGTATATGAAAATAGGGTGACAGGGGAGATTATGGCATGCCTGGACTGGATGGATTCCCAGGTTTCCCGGGTGTGAAGGGAACTATTGGAGATGTTGGTCCAGTAGGCCCACAAGGACCACCAGGTGAATATGCAGAAGCAGGAGAGCCTGGTGAGCCCGGATTTGACGGAATACCAGGCACCCCTGGTCAAGCTGGTCCCAAAGGAAGTCCCGGTGATTATGGGTTTGATGGACCGGATGGTATCCAAGGAGATCCTGGCTACAGTTGGCCAGGGCCTAAGGGAGTAAAAGGAGATGCAGGTATTTACGATACTACGATATAACAAAATACTAAAAAGTAATTTTAACTGTAATTCTTGTTAATACCTCTGTAGAAAATTTTAGTTAAATTTTTAAGTGATCGCAAAAAAACGGTTCAGCGCGCTGTTGCGTTAATTTTTCAAATCTATTCCCAGTTCGATTTCCGGTAAATACACTCGCAGTTTTTTGAATCTATTTTCAACGAGAGGTTTTCTCCTTAAACCCCTTCCCGACCTAGAGTAAACCTGAAAATGATAGCGAAACAGTAGTGGTAGTATAGGTATAGGAATCTACGTGAGTAGGAGGGTTGCAGATATAGGTAGAGTATGGTAAATAGTGAATTCCCTATTAGGTATATATTATATATTATAGTAAATAGAGGATTAGCCAATCCGATGCTCCGACAGAGAGCGCCGGCTTTACCAGTGATGAGCTGGTCCCTAAAATAATTGGACCTTCTCCTGGGAGGTTAACACTGCGTTATGACACGATGTGTTTTTCACAAGCAGATACGTTAGCTTATCCATCTTGGTGTGGATCTAAATAAGATTATCCCTGGAAACACATCTACAAGAAAAGTATAGTAGTTAATATAATATAATACCGGGCACTACTTCTACACTTAACACGTTTTTCTCTCGATAATTGCTGAAAAACTATAATTGTTTATATAAATTTACTCGATATTTCAAACTAGATTTGAAAGCATTTCGGCTCAGTTCGATTTTAAAAAGACGCGTAGGTATAGTACGTATTTGATGAAAATAATTGATAACTTAATCCTCAAAACTTTAAGGACCGAGAGGATACATAGGATATCCTGGGGCACCTGGTTTCGAAGGCAGGCCAGGAGAAAAAGGGCGTATGGGGCCCAAAGGTTTCCTTGGTGATGTTGGATTACCAAGCTCAAGCGTCAAAGGAGAACAGGGTGACTATGGTTTTCCAGGGTTAGATGGAAGGCCCGGAATGAAAGGAGAGATGGGCGATGAGGGATTTGCTGGTATTATGGGATTACCAGGATTGAAGGGTGAAAGAGGTGACTACGGCGATAGCGGTCGACCTGGTCCTCAAGGCAGAAGTGGCCGTAAAGTAAGACTCCAGTTTTACCATTTAAAAAGTTTGCTATGTTGTGGCAAATATTCGTAGTCTTTACATTTTTAACTTTTTGTATTAATCAATAGGGTATGAAAGGTGAGATGGGCACGTATCTCCCTGGTCCAAAGGCCGAAAAAGGAATGATTGGGGATGTCGGTTTCATGGGGCCTGAAGGTAATACACTAGTACTACAATTTTTTTTATTTGCAAAGTTTTGCATCAAATTTTAAACTGTATGAATGACTATTAGGTCCGCGTGGAATGCCAGGCATGGAGGGTGAGCCCGGTGAAGATGGTTTACCAGGCGAACAAGGAGAAGAGGGAGAAGTTGGCCCTGCTGGTAATCCAGGTATCGACGGACCCGATGGTCCCGATGGCTCGGAAGGACCACCTGGATTAATGGGCCGTCCTGGACCAACAGGTTAGCTCGAATCATGTTTGAATAATTAAACTGAGTAATCTCATACGATTTTGATTTTTTTTTTTAAAACTTCCCCAGGAGTTCCTGGACTCGCTGGAGCACCTGCGCCTCCCGGACCGGGACCGCGAAACCGAGGCTTTTATTTTTCCCGACACTCCCAGTCAGCGATGATTCCCTTGTGTCCGAAAAACACGGTGAAATTGTGGGACGGGTTCTCACTTTTGCACATAATGGGAAATGGTTATGCACACGCTCAAGATTTAGGTAAGCATTAGATTTTTCATTACGACCGATCCCGTAAAGCCAAAAATTTAACCACCTTAAATTATCCATATTTTTGATGTTCAACAGTTTTGAAACTTAAAAAAAATGCATCTTTTCTTGTATGCATTGGCGAAAAACTATTATTATCTTTGTTTTTTATTTTTTTCTAAAACCCAACAAAACTATAAAAATGGTATGTATACAAGAATCAGTTACCCCGTTGATATTGCTATTTGATGATTAAAATCCGTGTCTTAGAAAAACACTCTGTTAACAAACGTAACAGTTGCATATATTAAATGCAAAAGTTTGATTTGTCGCATATAAATTGAGTCACTTGTTCAAAATAAACTTGAATACCAAATGCAAAAACCTCAGGCGTTCCCGGGAGTTGCGTGAGAAAGTTCTCGGTGATGCCGTTCATGTTCTGCAACCTGAACAACGTGTGCGACTACGCGAACCGCAACGACTACAGCTACTGGCTGAGCTCGAACGAACCGATGCCGATGTCGATGACACCGATACCATCTCGCGAGGTGGGCGCCTTCATATCACGGTGCTCCGTCTGCGAGGCACCTACCCGCGTAATAGTCCTGCACAGCCAATCCATGGCCATACCCGACTGCCCTGGTGGATGGGACGAGCTCTGGACCGGATACAGTTTTCTGATGGTATGCCTTTTCTGATTATTATCTCTCTCTCTCTCTCTCTCTCTCTCTCGCATGCCATATGCCTAAAAAAAGAAAACGATAAAACTCGAAAATTCCGAATCCTCGCAGCACCGCGACGCAGGAGCAGCCGGCGGAGGACAACCCCTCTCGTCTCCAGGCTCGTGCCTCGAGGAGTTCAGAGCGCGACCATTCATAGAGTGCCGCAGCCAAGGGACCTGCAACTTCTTCTCCACGGCCGTCTCGTACTGGTTGGCCACCATCAAGGAGCACGAAATGTTCCGCAAGCCCCACCAGCAAACCCTCAAAACGGACCACACGTCCCGCGTGTCGCGCTGCTCCGTCTGCATAAGACGGCGCATCAGCGAGAACCACAACAATCAGCACTACGTCCACGGACACCAACAGCCGTCGTACGCTTACCCGCACGCCAGACAGCCGACGGCCAGCATACACTCCGAGAGCGAAGCGAGCAATGAAATCGAAGGCCCCGCGCACAGCAATTACTACCTGCAGCATCAGCGCAAGCATCCGGCTGTCAACTACCCGAGCGGGAATAGCCAGCATAGCTACTACCCACGGGCCAGAAGGCCGAACCAAAGAGTCCCGGCGCAGCATCTCAGGCGACACGATAGGCACCACAAGGCGCATCGCAAGACTGGGGAAGTCAGCGAGTAAGATTTTTGTCAAATCGTCATCGTAGGTGATCGAGAGGACGAACTTTTTCATTGTCTTGGACGGCATGCGATGATATGCAATGGAAAGTAAATAAAAGGTGAAATTGGTGGCGTTCATTCGAAATGAATCGTCGCGCATAAATTAAAGCAGTCGGTGGATGATATAGATTTACCAAATCAATCGTATCGTGCGTTGATTTGCCATACCAGTAGGATAATTTAAGTTTTTTTTTTTTTTTGTTTTTTTTTTTTTTACCAAACGTTGCCCAAAAATGTTGCTCGACAACAACAAAAATTTGAGGTGAGATACGATTTTTCCAAGCTACCCTATTGCATCGTAAATTATCGTTAAATGTATGTTTTGAAAATTTGCGAGTTACAATCGACATGGACAATTTATTGAAATAACACCATGTCATTAAAATATGTGTTTGATTTTAAGTCGCTATTTTTATATTAAGTGCAAGGCAAAATAGCTGCTATCAAAAAATTTTTGTAATATAATATTATTGTATATCTACCAGTTTCGTAGTTTATAATGAAACTTTTAAATGTTGATTTTCGATTGTGTTAAGATTAAAACAAATTGTGCTAAGCTTTCCGAAAATTGTACTTGAAACATGTTCAATTTAATAAACGATGATCCCTCTTCGTACGCGACGAATTTTTTTGAATAAAATAATTAAAAAACGAAAAATCCTAGTTATGTACATAAGTGAAGCCAAGTGGTGTTTTCGATCAAATGTATATTTATAGACACACTGCCGGGCTCTGCACTCGCTAGATAATGAAAGAGCTGCTTGTGCTGTGCCATACCGCGATAATTGTATCCTTTTTCTCAACAACTGCCAAATACAAATGATCACTCGCCGTTGTAGAGTGTCTAATAATTTATGGAAAATCAAATTAAAACATAATTATAACTTTTTTATCGTTAAAATAATGTTATTGCTCAAATATATTTTTGTGTATTAGTCAATAAATAAATAAAGTGACAAAAAAAAATGTTTCATTCTTTGTACGAAAATTGTACCTTTCAACGTTCAAATGAATTTTGTTGTTTATCTAAAACAAATATGTATCAATGAAAAGGGCAGGGAATAACTCAGACAAAAGAAATTTTTTTTTTTCTTATCAGCATATTTTTTAATTAAAATAGATTGATCAAGTGCGAAGCAATAGACAATGCATCTTTTTACACACGATGACTTGGATCGATCACAAAAGAACGTCGCACGCCTCTGTGCAATATACAAAACCTACTAAAACTTAAAAGTGAATCTTTACGAGTCTTGGCATCTACAATGAAATCTGCATCGAACCCTCTTATACATTTTTTTTTTCCTCATTCTTCTCGTATGAACATTTAACGAATGCATGTTTTGCACGCTCACTCATACAACCATCCTCTAAATAACGTATCGTGTTAACAGCGAATAGGGACGTATTATAATTCGTCGATACATAAACTTTCTTAATTTTATTTTACTTTACTTTATTTTTTTTTTTATTTGTTTTCGTTTTATTTATCTATTTTTTGCACTCTCTATTTTGTCCGTCTCTCCTCGTTCTCTCTATCGATATCGAAGCTCTTTTTCCCCGCTCTCTCGTCTGATATCCCAAATAAACTTACTCTAATCTGCCCTTGTCTTCTTCCCGATTTTATCTTCGAAATTCGTCTCTTCCATCCTCCCATCGCGCACACACGCGCGCGCGCGCAAAGTACCAAGAAAACAAAAAAAATTTAACGTACACATCGGTATAGAGTTATATTTATAAAATTATCCGTCGTTCTCTGTTTTAGAAAGCACATAATATTATGATGTATACGTGTGACAAATTATCCATGCGTACGTCGGGCAAAGGGAGGGATGTACATTATCAAAGAAGGCGCACGAGCACGCGCTCGCCTGTAACAATCCTTTACTTCTTTTTTTTTACATCTTAAATGTCTTTTTTTTTATTATCTCTTTCTCTTCTCATTATTTACCACTCGTTTAAATTAAATACACGCAGGATAATTAAAAATACTCGTGCTCTATGTATATATATATATATTCATATATTTGTTTATATATATTTATATAAATAAGGCTGAGCATATGCTCGCGCGCTTGTACACGTGTATACGTATTTGTTGTAATTTTTATCCAACCATCTTACGAGAGACTTGCCGAGGAGTTTTTCTAATAATAGTAGTAATAATGATAATCCATTTGTAATCAATTTTTCGCTGGAAGAAAAATGCAACCGAACGCTCGATGTACGTTATTAATGTATGAAGGGTCGAGAGGAGGAGTGCGAAAACTCATCGTCACTCGCGCGCTCATACATATATATTTTATATATACATATGTATGTGTGTGTAAGAAAATATTTACACGTGAAAAGGAATTATCGGTAATCCGGGGGTAATATGGGAACTGTTGACGCAAACGCCGTCGGTATACGAAGTCCATTATGATGTAACGTAATTAATAATCGAGAAATGTTAGTTTTCAGACAGAAAACGCCCGACTATTGTTTTACTTTATATTACATATAAACTTTACAACGTAAACTTAAAGTTGGAGCCGAGATCCGATTGCCTCTTGTGTTGCTCCGTTTTTATTACTTTCTCCTTCTCAAAGAAAATTGTCAACTATTGCACAGATTCACTATTCATTCGAGTCAAGGAAAATATTTTTCAACAACCGTTTGTTATCATAATAAATGTAAAAAGAAAAACAAAACTAAACTGTCATCCGACAGTTCCTTACATTGTAACACGTCATCGCATAATTTCTTTCCAGTACGCGATTCTGTAAAAACAAATTTTTTGAATTTTTTTTTTTTTTTTTTTTTTTTTTTTTTTTTTTTTTTTT